GGCCAAGGCCAAGGACTTGACTCCCAAGGCCAAGGCCAAGGAATTGACTCCCAAGGCCAAGGACCAAGGGCCGATCTTCGGTCCTCGAGCCTCGAACACATCACTGACACACACACACACACACACACACACACACACACACACACACACTGTTTGTAAGCAGTCTAATCCTTTGATTCAATTTGTGACTCCAGATAAATTGCAAGCCGAAGGAAGCTCTCAAGATGAAAGCCAATCTTTTAAAAACACGAGCGATGTCACAAAGTCAAACATGACCATCCCATGCCGATGTCTGTGCCATAGCAAAGGGAAATCGGCCTCAACCGCCACTTCCATCAACGCTGCTGTTGTTGACCTGAAAGATCAGCTGCATCCCAGCAATGACACAAGTAAGTATCAATTCATATTATTTTTTGTTAATTATTCAAAATGAAGGGGAAAAAGTAGATTAAAGTTCAATAGATCCTTAAAATACAATAAAATACAAGGTCCCGCTCACTTTTGGCTTCCTCGTGAACCACACTATGGAGAAATAGGCGAGCAGCACGTTATCTATGCACCACGGGGCATGACGGCTTTCACGATAGTTCTTGGTTGCCATGATAATGGACCGAAACGTCCGCCTATGGTCATTTTCAAGAGGAAGACGCCGCCGAAAGAAAAGTTTCCTGCTGGAGTCCTCATCGAGGCCAATCAAAAGGGCTGGATGGATAAGGACAAAATGATAGAGTGGCTGAGAGAGGTGTATGTATAGAGATCAGATGGGGTTTTTTTCACACAGCACCTTCCTGTTGATCTGTGACTCCATGCGCGCCCATCTCACTGCTACTGTCAAAAACCAAGTGAAGAAAATTAATTGGGAGCTTGCCATCATTCCGGGAGGGACATTGGTGTAAACGGAGTGTTCACAGTGAAGTTGTGAGCAACGTGGGAGCAATTGATGACAGGCGGTAAAGTCGTCAGCTTGCTGGGTCCGTACGCGGAGTTGCTGCTGGCTAGCTTGCACCCTGCTCAGTAGCTTGCACGCTTCCTTTCTTGAGTCTCCCGCAGTGTATTTTGATGCCAATGTAGCATGGCGCGTGTCAAAGTGCCGCTTTACATTCGACCGTTTCATCGGTGGTATTTTTTTCATTGCAAATTAGACACACTGCAGAACCTGTTCTCTCCACAAAGGCGAATCCTTCGGTCCATCCGTCCTGAAGTCTACCATACTCGTCATCTTTTTTTCTTTTCGCCATGTTATTCGTTTAGGTCCTAAACGATAAGAATCCTCAACTTTCGGATTAGCTTTGAGCTAATGACCGAGCGAGCTGATTCAAAAGGGGGCGTTTACCTGTTTCCACAGCAACGGCCTACTTAGGCCAGTATTATCCAATTAAAATTGCTCCTGCTACTGCAGCCCTGAATAGGACACAAGCAGTGAAAAATCAATGGATTGATTAACAAGCGAGAATATTTTGTTTTATCTGCGAGCCAAATGCAATCATCAACAGAGCCATATATGGCTCGCGAATCATAGGTTCCCGACCCCTGGCATCTGGTGTCATCTCCTAAAGTGAAGCCTTAAAGTGACCGTTAAAGAATACTTTTGCTACAGATCATGGCATTAAAATGTCAAAGAGGACCCAACTGCAAGCCATCGGGCAGTACTTCAGTCACATCTATAGAGTCACTTTTTTTTTTTTTCTAGCTATAATTTTGGACCCTAGATAAACTATACCACATTTAAAAATATGAGCTTATCGGTATTGGCCATACAAAGCTAAAAAAAATAACGTTTAGAGCATCAGTTGAATTTTTTTCATATTGTGCATCACTAATATTTACCAAATGTGCTCACTTAATTTTCATTGTATTTGGCAGCCAAATCCTTTCCTGAAAAAAGTTCACCCTCTGAACTGGGTGAGACAATCCAATTTTCCCCCATCGATGACCAAGATAAAACAGATTTCCAGCCTGAGAGGAAACGTATTCGCATTGCTGAACCTAAGGTAAGATTAAGGATTGTTTTTTTGTTTTTTTTTTTTTTCTTGTATTTACAGCATTGTCTGTTACTGACTCAGAACACAATTTTGGTACCTGCACAATTTTGTTTTTGCATGATTTGAGTATGCAATTTTATCAAACACTTTATTTGGTCAAAGTACCTTTATTTGACATGGTGTGTCAGCACCTGTGATTATTCTTCCACAAAATAGTTGGGAGGCATCTATTGTATGGAAATGGTTCAGGGACAAACACCAGAGATGCACAACTTCGGAAATTTTGCCCTTATCCAGTTTAGTGATGTTTGGGGGTCAGTAGTAATTAACAGCGATTTAGGAGTAATGTCTGGATTAATCCTGCTCACCTGCACATTGATTTTTTTTTTGTTTCTAGAGGGGGAAATGACGAAAACCCTTGTTAAGACAGACTTTAAATATGTGGGGGGCTACAGTTGAATACATTGGCAGTAATTTTACCAAAATAGTAAGTTTAATAAATTGACGCCCCCCCCCCCACACACACACACGCACACACTTGACATCTGTATATGCACAATGTTTAAAATCTACTGCTGTTGAAACATACAAGACATTCTATCTTACGGCAAGGTGGCATCTGAGGGAGAGATGGGACGTCTAATGTATAAGTATACGATGATGTTGACGAGTGACACGGGTGGACGCACAACGTTAGATACTGTTTGCCACATTTTTCTATGCACTAAACTGAAGCCCTGTTGAACTCTGAGGTTTGCACTTTTGATACACGGAGTCTCTCGTGATGAGTAAGCGGACATGGATTTTTGACTTGTTTGGATCTGAAAAAAAGAAGAAAAAAAAGTAAAGTAGGAGGAGGAAATAAGGAAAACTAAACCTTGGTAGGGTTTTCGTGGCTCGGACCTCGTGCAGTTTTGAAGCTACGTCATGGCGACCATGGGTGGTTTTCATATCCTTCAGAAGAAGAGCCAGGCCAGTTTACGTGTCAACTTGTATTCTGAGCATCTGGATTGTTATGGTGAATCTGGTAAGCCCGTGGTGGTTCCATGGACCAACAACCGAAACAGCTGGAAGTCTCATCGCCAGTGGCTGATGTGGGATCCTTGCCGTCTGTGGAGACTCCAGACTCATTGGAGTGCAAACAAAACAAGGAAAAGCATACGTAAAATGAAAATTCCACCAGATGGAAAGGTTTTTTTCTTTTTTCTTTTTTTTAAGACAGGTGACAGAAGCACATTCTCACAAGAAGGTTTTCAGAAGAAAGCCTTGAAGAGAAAAGCATAACAGAGATTTCAGGAGAGCCGACAAGTGACGCAGAGGAGATTAAAGGGAAGGCTTTTTATCTGTTAAGTCAGGCAGATGTGCGAAATAGCCGACCTTTATCTCAAGTTTCAGTTGAGACTCAATTCTTTGTTTGTCTCAAGTTTCAGTTGACTCTGTGTTGCCCGTTCTTTTAGAAAAATCAGGGGGTATAAATTTTTGTTATAAACATGACCAATAAATGATTATTATAATGTTAGAATTAATAGAAAATTAGCAGGAAAAAACAATTAAACAAGCCTATATTCATAGATAATGCATTTCAGACAAAAACTGCATTGAGAGGTCGTACCTGCAGTTCCTGTGTCCATACCTTAAGCCATTCTTGGTCCTGCAATGTCAAGTTGACATGTGGAGATGCATTTGGTTTACTGAGATTTATGAAGTTATCTCTGGCTTCAAAGCAACAAGATGCCAGAATGTCTGGGCCAGAAGGGTTTGAATACACCAAAAAATTAATCCTCCTCCCTTGTCGTCACCAATGGTTCGGCCATATTGGCCAAAATATTAGGTACGCTAATGTGTGCAGGCCTCCCGATCACTCGGGACACTGGATGCTTCCTTCCTTCCTTGCTTTCTAATTTCCTTGGATCCTTTTTTTCCTTGCTTCCTTGTTTCCTTCTTTCCCTGCTTCTTTGTTCCCTTGCCTCCTAGCTTTCTTTTTTCCGAGCTTCCTTGTTTAGTTGCTTCCTTGTTTCCTTCCTTGTTTCCTCATTTCCTTGAACCCTTGATTCCTTGCTTCCCAGTTTCCTCATTTCCTTGCACCCTTGATTCCTTGTTTCCTTCCATCCTTATTTCCTTGCATCCTTGAATCATTGTTTCCTTGTTTCCACGCTTGCTAATGTCCTTGCTCTTTTCCTTCCTTGCTTCCTTGCATCCGTGTTTCCATGCTTCCTTCCACAATTTTTTTCAATATGCACAATAAAGGCCAAAAATGAGTTTCTTTTTTCTTTTGCCCCTTATTTACACTTTTTTGACAGATTCAGGCCATTCCAACTTATGACTGTTCAACTTATTCCCACCTCTGCATATTTTCAATTTTTTTTTATTTATTATTTGTCAAAGATTAGATATTGAAAAAATATCTTTAATTGAACATTTTTTTACGGTTTTATTGGATTTCACATTTATGACCAGAAAAACCCACACAAAAGTACGGAAAATCGGTACCGATATTGAGCCAGTTTCAGAACTGAGCCAGTTTGATTGTGAAAGGTACCGATCCATAATAATGTGTCGTCACTTTGTGTTGGACTGTTAATAAATAAATAAATAAATAAACTTACGTTATACCTTTATGGCAACATGAATGTGGATCAAGCTGGATGAATACTTTTGCAAGCCACTGTCTGCTCCTGCATTGTTCTGAAGGTAGATATTTTACACTTACTCTTCCGATAAGTAAAACACAGTGTCTGTTGTAGGGAGTTGTATTTTCAGAAGATATGCCGAAGCTGGAAAATCATTCTTCATGTCCTCAGAGTTCATCTATGGACCCCAAAAGCCATGGACCTCGAGTGTTGTCCCCTTGCCTTGTGAGTTTACATGGAGCAAATGTATTTCACTGAGCCCCACTGGGCATATTCTATTTCTCTTGTTTTCAACATTGGCAAAAATGTTCTCACTTTTTCAATTTGTTGTAAAGTTAAGACAAATATACAAAATACAATATATCTTTAGTCTTTCACAACAGCTGCAGCTGTAACAAAGTGCTTTACAGACATTTAACATGAAATAACAACACAACAGAACACACAACATAAAACAGACAAGAATACATTCGTAACCCCTATTCCTACATATGCCTTGTTGTTAGAAGTGGTTATAGATGAAAGGAGAATCAAAGTCTCCTTTCACCAGTGGTTCAGAGAGCTCACGCTACAGTTCTGCTACAAGCTCATTGTAAAAGTAAACAAGAAGCTGTCACATCCATTGATGAATACAGAGATTGATTCAGTTCTCCTGTCCTGGATCAAGATTTTTTCTTATATACTGTATACTATAGATGAGGTCTGAAAATTACACTTCACGATTATCATCAAGTGTTGCGCAAATTACTTGGAAAAAAATTAGGTGTAGTGAACTAAATACTTCCCAAAACATTTTTGAAACTGTTTTTGTGGCTCAATAATTTTACTCATTCATAGGGACTGGTTGAGGACCCACGCTGATGTCTGTCTTCTTGCTGTAATCTAATTTTTTTTCCCCCCCCCCCCCCATTTTTAGTCCCCCGAATCATGCTTCCACTGCCCATGTGCATCAGCCAAGGATAGTGCAAAGGATAAAGGTGGCAAAAGGAAGGTCCCCAAAATTTTTTTTGGCACACGCACACATAAACAAATAACTCAAGTTGTTCACGAGATGAAGCGTACTGCATACTCCACTGCTCCAATGACCATATTATCCAGCAGAGATCATACCTGTGTCAACCCAAATGTGGCCCCTCACTCCAACCGGAATGACCTCTGCAAGGACCTAATGGAAGCCAAAGATGTGAGTGCTTACCAACATCCTCATACACAGACAATTTTTTAGAGCAATTACGCGTAAGTGGGCTTCACGTTACAACATGAGCTTTTTTGCGTCTCTGCACTAGTCAGGGTGCATACTTACTGGCAAGTTGATTTTTCTGAAAATGTACATCAAAATTAGTTCTTGCACTTAATTTAGATTTGCTGTTAAACAGTTTTGTGCCATCTTGGGGGGGGGCACAGTATGATATTATTGATTGTAGTTGAGCAATGGGTATTTTCTATATGCTAAATGCATATAGAAATCAAATACTGTATATTAAGATACCCTTCTGTGCATCACTTCAATAAAATACAGATTATAGTGATCCCTCACTTACCACTTTTAACGGACCGGTACCCGGCCGTGATAATTGAAAAATGGCAAAGGATGGTTAGCTCCCCCACTAGGAAGTTTTGTGTAAGTGTATGAGGGTACCAGCATGTTTAAAATATGCAAACAGTAATTATACTTTACATATTTGACACAACGACTCCAGCAGTACACGTACTTACTTAAATCTTTAACTATGAAATATTTTACAGTACTTAACATTCATCAGCATTGCCTTCTGGGAGAGGCAAAGAGACTTGTGTTGGTGGCGTAGAAAGTGGCTCTCAATTGACGCTCTGACAGTGTAGCCGTCGTTAGCCTCCAGCTAGCTCCTGGCCAGCTATCTCCGTGCAGCCAATGTGTTCATGATAAGACAATTAATCGGTATTGATGAGGAGGAGGCGATGAGAGACGAGAGGCGGCTGCTACTACAAGTCCCATAACACCCCCCCCCCCCCCCTCTCTCTCTCTCTCTCTCTCTCTCTCTCTCTCTCTCTCTCTCTCTCTCTCTCTCTCTCTCTCTCTCTCTCTCTCCCTCACTATGTACAACATACCTACATGCATCTCCACAACATAAAACACATTAGTCAGCCTTCTAAACTGGAATTTAGGAGTAATTAGAAGACAGAAGCTCTTGACATATGCACCTCACGCTTTCGTCCCTTTCCTCAAACTGACGTAACTCCTAATAATCCACATGAACCACTTCCTGCCACTCATGCAACCCTTTGAAATAACAGCAGGGGGCACAATAACCTAAATAAACGTGGAGTCATTGTCATTTCACCATCATGTATTTATTTTAACATTACCATGCACTTAGAATCACAACAGTTACTGATACCTTTATTTTTTTTTACAATTATTATACAATACAATACTATACTATAGAATGAAACAAAGATCAACACCTGTTTTTGTTGCAAATGTACATTTGGCAAGCTGAATGGAGATGAGGCAAGGAGACTGTTGACATCAGTCATAGTTTCTCAGCCAAGCAGGATGCAGAACACCATGCACTGCAGAAAAAAAAGCACAAAAAATAATCTTTGAAACAGCGAAGCCCTGTTATAGCTAGGGTTCATGCGATATGTGTTCTGGCAGCAGGCGGGGTACACCCTGAACTGGTTGCCAGCCAATCTCAAAGCACATAGTGTATAGACAAACAACCATTCGCACTCACAATCACACCAAGGAAAAATTTTGAATGTTCATTCAACCTACCGTACATGTTTTTTGGAATGTGGGAGTACCTGGAGAAAATCCACTCAGGCATGGGGAGAGAATACAAACTCCATACAGGAAGTCCGGCGCCGAAATTGAACCCTGTACCTGTGCACCGTGAGGCGGACATGTCAACCAGTTTGACCACTGTGTGTGTGTGTGTTGTGTGTGTGTGTGTGTGTGTGTGTATTTGTGTGTGTGTGTGTGTGTGTGTGTGTGTGTGTGTGTGTGTGTGTGTGTGTGTGTGTGTGTGTACATATATATATATATATATAATGTAAATCTCTTTTACAGCAGTGTCCAGATCACAAAATTGTTTTTATATTTTAGGGAAGATCATGTCCTTACTTCCATGCAGTACAGAAAATGGGCAACCAGAACACTCTGCAGTTGGTCCATGGAGTTCACCAAGCCTGGGACATTGAGGACCTGGTCTCTTTGGGCAAACGGCTTCGTTCATGTTCATACTATGCTGCTCGTGAACTCATGCAAGGCTCCAGGATCATCTTCTGTCCGTATAACTACCTGTTAGATCCAGTGATCAGAGATTGTGTGAGTCATCTCAGAAATCATGGACAGGAACTTGTGTTGTTGCTACTTTATTACACAATATTTAATGCATGTGGGAAATAATTAAAATAGCAATGTTTTATTGGGAATCAAAGACAGGTAATAGCAGCAGCATTTCACAGTCAATGTTTGCCCATCCCTTATCCAGTCTTAACTTTTCAACCAGATGGAGATTGATCTTGCAGGCCACATCTTGGTTCTGGATGAAGCCCATAATATTGAGGACTGTGCTCGAGAAAGTGCCAGCTTCATGTTAGACCACAATAATTTGCTGATGTGCAGGGATGACTTTGACGGCATGGTCAACAGCAACATCCGGCGGTTGAAACATGAGCCTCTAAGAGATTTTTGCTGTAGTATACTCAAGTGAGTGACATTTCATTGTTCTTTCTTTTTTTTTCTCTTTATTTTTAAACCTGTATAATGGCCTTCACCACATTTTTTAAAAAATTGTGATGCATTACTGTCCATATAGCTGGATCCAGGAGAGCCAAAGCCTCATGTCTGATAGGGGATATGAAGATGCATGTAAAGTTTGGAATGGAAAGGAAATACTGAGCATTTTTCACAACCTGGGTATCACTCCTGATACCTTCCGGATGCTGAAGGTATGCTATTGGAAACTATGGCTGTTTAACAGTTCTAGTTGTTGAATTTTTTAGAGAATGTAAATTTGTTAAATATTTTTATATCGTGAAGCAATAACAAACACAACACATAAATAAACAAACAAACATAAATCTGTGATTATGACTGTGTGGCTGGGTGTAGGTACACAGTCATTAATGTAGGGGAGTGGAGGGTGCATTAAAAAAAAAAAGGAAAATTGTAATAATAGTGGAAATAATATCAATTCCCAAAAAATGTTTAGTAGTCATAAAAAAAATGTATAATTTAGTGAAAAAGCAATGATCGAAGAATAACGTGGTGTACACACTAAGGCTGATTGATTTGCCAAAACATATTTAATCAATTTTCTTCCACTTATCCAGTGTCGAGTCATGGGGAAAGCAGCTTTAGCGGGTTAGCCCAGACTTCCCTCTGTCCAGGCACTTCGCCCAAGGCATTTCCAGGCCAGCCAAGAGACATAACCTAGGTTTCCATTTCAGTTTTTCATAAAAGTGATCATTCTACCATTTTGACAAATTGCTACTTGTAGGTGTTTCCATTGTAGTGTGTTTGGTTTCTGAGGTATAGTTCTCGTAACGTTCCGTGAGATCTCGTAATTCTTGTAGAATCTCATGAAATTTTCTTGCACGACAAGCGACGGTGTGAAAGTGTTGGGAGATAGACGGGTGTGGCCCCACGCAATCTGTGTGGGGATTCAAGGACGGCAATGTCAGTGATGTTGCACCCGCCATTGTTGCGATGGTTCAAATTGGGCTTCCGTCCAACCAGCGCTGACTGTGGCTCCTGGGGGTGCAGCTGGAAAGTGTGTTGCTGTTGGAATGGCTTGAGTACTGGTTCACTCTTTGAACGGAACTAGGCGAACGTACAACATAATTAAAAGTCAGTACAATAAAATAACAGAACATACGACAGCAATTAAATGGCAAATGTTATGGGCAACATTAAAGTGAATAAACAATCCGGAATAGGTGTGTATTTGGAATAGTTTTAAAGAGGGATTATTAGAAGGAATGGTAAAGTGGACGAATTTGTGAGCAATTGTGAACAGCAGTTTTCAGATTTCAGTTTTTAACTGGGTGAAGGAGCTATTTGAACAGGAGGCAAGAGTTTGTGGGAATGGATGGGCATAAGTCATGACGCCTGGACATTGTGTGTGGTGTCTCACAGGGGTCAGTATCGGGACCAATGTTGTTTAATGTATGTATGATAATATTTATAATGTCTCAAAATCTCTGAAATGTATCATCTTATACTATTTTATATATATATATTTTTTTTTTTTTGTTTTCTTATTTTTCACCAAAAAGAATTGCATTTGGGGGGACTTAAACATGCATGAAAAGTCACTAAATGTTGCACACTCCTCAACCCTGGTTAAAAAAAATGTGACATTTTAAAGTCATCATCAGGGGGTGGAAAAACCAATCTAACCAATCCCGATACATTTGACTTCGGCGTACGAAAATTGGGAGGCATGTGAAGCACCGGTGGCCCGGTGACCAACTGGTTAGCGCGCCAGCCTCACAGTGTACAGATGCAGGGTTCGATTCAGAACTGCCTCAATTCTTCGTGGCATAAATTCAACAAGGTGCTGGAAGCATTCCTCAGAGAGTTTGGTCCATATTGACATGATGGCATCACACAGTTGGGGCAGATTTGTCGGCTTCACATCCATGATGCGAATCTCCCGTTCCACCACATCCCAAAGATGCTCTATTGGATTGAGATCTGGTGACTGTGGAGGCCATTTGAGTACAGTGAACTCATTGTCATGTTCAAGAAACCAGTCTGAGATGATTCCAGCTTTATGACATGGCACATTATCCTGCTGAAAGTAGCCATCAGAAGTTGGGTACATTGTGGTCATAAAGGGATGGACATGGTCAGCAACAATACTCAGGTAGGCTGTGGCGTTGCAACGATGCTCAATTGTTACCAAGGGGCCCAAATAGTGCCAAGAAAATATTCCCTACACCATTACACCACCACCACCAGACTGAACCGTTGATACAAGGCAGGATGGATCCATGCTTTCATGTTGTTGACGTCAAATTCTGACCCTACCATCCGAATGTCGCAGCAGAAATCGAGACTCATTAGACCAGGCAACGTTTTCTCAATCTTCTATTGTCCAATTTCGATGAGCTTGTGCAAATTGTAGCCTCAGTTTCCTGTTCTTAGCTGAAAGGAGTGGCACCCGGCGTAGTCTTCTGCTGCTGGAGCCCATCTGCCTCAAAAGTTCGACGTACTGCGCGTTCAGAGATGCTCTTCTGCCTACCTTGGTTGTAACGGGTGGTTATTTGAGTCACTGTTGCCTTTCTATCAGCTCGAACCAGTCTGGCC